TCGTAGCACATCAACGGGCCACTCAAATTCTTGTAGTAGAGATACAAATGATTATTTTCTGATCCTGAAAAATAACAAGCTGTTATCCTCCAACTGTTAAGCCATAAATATCACACTGCACTGATTTTTCATCTCGAGACCGGCAAAAGCTACAATGCTGAAACTTTGGGGACATAATCTACATGCACGTACGGGCCCTCATCCCCAAAATGGGCGGTCTTGCCCGCCTGATACCCGCGTAAGAGCCCGCCAAAACTTTTTTTATCATAACAATTTACCGCAAACAATATGTTTGCCATCAGTTGCTAAACCAATAAAATGCCGTTCATTTTGATGCCCTCTCATCGTACAGATACATTTCCCGCTGTCCAAATTCCACAGTCGGAGACTGCCATCAGTGGAGCTGTAAAAGTCACTTTATTGGTTTATGAGATTCTTTAAAAATAAACATAAAATCGAAAAATGAGAATACCAGGCTATCATCCGAATAATCATTTTCTTCTGACCGAACACACAGCAAATCATGTCTGCGGAGAAAAAAAAAGGCAAAAAAGAGAATTTAGCCTGATGTGCGCACAAAAACTACAGGAAAAAACAAGAATTTTAGCATTTTAGGTAAGCAAAGAATCCAAAAATATACAGAAAATTTTAGCATAAGATGCATGTAAAATCGTAAAAAAATGCAAATTTTTAGCGCGCTGAGTAAAATTTTTGTAAAAAGAAAAAGCAACAAAAAAGCAAAAAAAACCTGGAACAAAAATCACTGTATTATCGTGAATGAGCAATAATAATGATCAAAATGAGATTTGTCCTGGACTGTCTTTTGGGTTATTTCAAGCAAACTTTTCAGCAAATACGAATGAAAAAATTCAAAAAAGTACTGACGCTGAGACAGCTTCATTTTCATTGCAATACTTCACGTATGAGATGGGCCTGCGATGACCGCTTAAAACATTGAGGGGTTCTGATATTCGGCGTATATCGTAAAAATGAACGCAACGATCTATAAAATTTTAATCGCCAAATAATCTCATAAAATTGTCAAATTCATTTAAAAAAAAAAACTGAGTTTAGCACAATATATAAGAAAAAAACACAGCCGACGAGAAGAAAAGTAAGAAAAGTAATTTTTGAAGAAAAGTAAATTTCTGACAAAAAAAAAAAATAATAAAAATACCGGCTGTGCCGAACACAAGAAAA